CTAATATTCTGTCAAAACCACATAATTGAGTTCTTCCATCAAAACCGCAAAATTGTATTTTCTACCAAAACCACAAAATTGTATTTTCTACCAAAACCGCAAATTAGAGTTTCGTTTCAAGGCATTAAAATGTTTCTTGCCAAAACATAAAATTGAGTTTTTCGCCAAAACCATAAATTGAGTTTTACTGTCAAAGACTCAAAATTGTATAACCGATTTTTTTTTCAAAAACGTAAAAAAAGAGTTTTTTTTGTTAAAATGGTAAAATCAAATTTTCTGTCAAAATCATATAGTTGTGTTTATGTGCCAAAATTTCGAAATCGAGTTTCTCCACCAAAAACCGTATAACAGAGTTTTCCTATCAAAAACAAAAAAAATCGAGTTTTCCTACCGTAACCATAAATCAAGTTTTTTTTGCCAAAACAATTATATTATTTTTTCCATAAATTGTAAACTGATTTTTTTCGTCAAAACCACAAAATCAAATTTTCTTGCCAAAACTTCCAAATCGTGTTTATATGTAAGACCGCATAATTGTGACTTCTGCGAAAATTGTAAAATTGTGCGTTTCCCAATAAAACAAGAATTATGTTTTCCATGATTGTTGTAAACTCGTGTTTAAAAGAATATTTGCATGAAGAAACTTGTCTGATGAGTCATTATACGAGATTCAAAAATTGGTTTTTAGTTTTGGATTTTCTTCTGGGATGATGTATATTTGCATTGAAAATTGTATGATATATTAGAAAGAGGATGATAAGATACGTAAATGTAGATTCTGTAAAAGGTCAAGATATACATCACAAAAAAATGAATATAAAAAAGTATTGTACCAAAAGATGTGGTATCTACTAATAAAAGACTGGTTGAAACGATTATATCAATCTGAAATGACAACATCAACGATGAAGTGGCATTTAGAAAAGGCGAGGAAACATTTTTATATGGCATACCTTGGTTTTGTTAGAAATATTAGTAATGTGTATCTTGATTTGCACAAATAGATTTAGTCTCTGTTCGAAAACGCGGCCGCCTAACCGCCTAGGCGGCCGCTTGGGCGCTCGACGTTGAAGACCCGTCACGATTTTACAAAATCGGCACAATTAATCGAAAAACCAATTAACCGTTTAAAAAACCGATTAATCACCGCTTAATCGGGTTTAAACCGATTTCTTGAGCAAAATATTGAACTTTATTGACAAGCGTTTGGGCCATGGAAGAGGCCCAGTTGTCTGAAGAGAATGGAGATTTTCTCTCTGTATTTATAGAGAACTCATGACTCCTCTTAGAGTAGAATTAGTCGATGTGGGAGAAATGCACTTTGTTTCTAGATTTTTTTTTTCTGACTCGCGGAGTTAAAAACAAGATAAAAGATGCACCATAGAAGATTCAAACCCACCAAGTACATGCCGCTACACATGACTCTCATTCCACTGGCCTACGTTGTTTCTTTGTCAACTTTCCACATGTTTTAATATATATACATATATTTATAATTAAAAAATAATAAAAACTAATCCCCACGTATATCCCGATTAATCTCCGATTTTTTGACAACTCGCTAGGCCCGAGGTCACCGCCCGACTATCGCCTAGCGTAATTTAGAACATTGGATTTAGTTAATATGGTAGACAATATTCGTTGTGGTCAATAATATTGACGCCCTACAATATTCCCTCGGAGGTGTGTAATGGAAAATGAGTTTTTTTTTCTTTACTAGCCTAGTCAATGGGACAAAGCGGTCATTTGATGTGTTTCTCCAATCTCTGATACATGAATTGAAGTAATTACTAGATTTTGACCCGCGTTTGAAAGCGCGGAAAATTTTTTATGATTAAAAATTTGTATAATTGGGTTTTGTCTTAATTTAAAGAATATTTTGATATAAAATCAGTTCACCAAAATTTGTGGTGATGATTGTTTTTCATTAGTTTTTAGTTTCAGTTTTTATTTTAGATTTTGATTTTTGGTTTTTAGTTTTTAAGTTTCTACTTTTCATTTTCAGTTTTTGGTTTGGGTTTTTAGTTTTTAAACCCGCTGAGTTAGTTTGAACTAATATTACCAACAAACAAATCTCAAATAATGGAACATCTAATTTAAAACTGAAAAGATGATAACAAATTAAAAAAAAATGAATTTGAAATAGTTTATTTTGTAAATAAACAAATCAAAAAAATATAACATGTGTTTTCAGCTTTTGGTTTTGGATTTTAGTTTTCAGATTTGGTTTTTGGTTTTGCTTTACATTTTTTTAATCAGTAAATTATTTAAGAAAATAAAACAATAAATTATTTAAAAGTTACAATTGAAATTTATCAAAACAAAGTGATTGTTATTTAAAATCTATACTATTATTTAAGAAGTAAATTTGCTTAGTTGTCATGTTTTCAATAAATTTAGGTACTTTTGTTTATTTATCATAATTTTAATATTTATATATAATTTATTTAAAATAAAACGAATTTATATGATATTATATTTTTTAAAAATAAGATAATTTTTGTGATTTATGTTGTTATCTTGAACTAAAATTTTATATATAAAACTTAAAGTTTTAAGAAGTAAATTTGCTTAGTTGTCATGTTCTCCATAAATTTAGGTACTTTTGTTTATTTATCATATTTTTAATATTTATATATAATTTATTTAAAATAAAATGAATTTATATGATATTATATTTTTAAAAAAATAAGATAATTTTTGTGATTTATGTTGTTATCTTGAACTAAATTTTTATATATAAAACTTAAAGTTTAAATTAAGATATAAAAATTATTATATTTATTATATAACTAAAACAAATTTGTATTAATAATTTTATATTTTTATAAAATAATATAATTCTTATGTATTATGTTGTTATGTTGAAATTATAATTTCCTATTATAAAATTTAAAATTAAGATATAAAAATTATATTATTAATAATTAAATTTAAATCATCAAAAAATATTTAAAAAGTTAATTTGTTGATTTGTCAACTTCTCCATGATCCTAGGTAATTTTGATCACTTATAATAATTTCTTTAATTTTGTTTTGTTATTGATTATATAATTAAAACTAATTTATATTAAGAATATGATATTTTAGAAAATAAGTTATTTCTTATATATTATGTTGTTATCTTGAAAATATATTTTTTACTATAGAATTTGAAATTAACATGTAAGAAGTCTTTTCTATTATTTAAGAAGTGAATTTAATGTTTGATGGTTTGTCATATTTTCCATGATTTTAGGTAACTTTGATAATTATCATAATTTATATAATTTTATATATAATTTATTATATATTTAAAACAAATNCTATAGAATTTGAAATTAACATGTAAGAAGTCTTTTCTATTATTTAAGAAGTGAATTTAATGTTTGATGGTTTGTCATATTTTCCATGATTTTAGGTAACTTTGATAATTATCATAATTTATATAATTTTATATATAATTTATTATATATTTAAAACAAATTTATATTAATAGTATCAGATTTTTAGAAAATAAGACACTTCTTACGTATTATGTTGTTGTCTTGGAAATATATTTTTCTATTAGAAATTTAAAATTACAGTTTAAAAAGTTGTAATTATTCTATACTTCAAATAAATTTACACTAATAATATTATATTTTTAGAAAATAAGGTAATTGAAAATATATTTTTATATTATATAATTTAAAAGTAAATTGAAAATTTATCTATTATTAATTAAATATAAATCATCACTCAAAGCAAAGTTATTTAAGAAGTTAATTTGTTGATTTGTTAAGTTCTCCATGATTTAAGTAATTGTAATCATATGTCATCATTTCTATAATCTTATATAATTATTATATAATTAAAACAAATTTTTCATATTATATTTTTAGAAAATAAATAACTTATGCATTGTATTTTTATCTGAATATATTTTTTCTATTATAAAATTTAAAATTAAGATATAAAAATTGTAATTTAATATAAATTAAGTAAAAATATTTGGAGAAATATTTTAATTAAATATAACTTAAGGAAATTGATTATAGAACTATAGTATTTAAAATATTTCTGATGTTTGAGTTTTGTCATTTATAATTATTTGATGTTTGATTTTTTCTTTTCGAAAACATAAGTAATATATTAATCAAACATCAACGGATAAATATTCATAAGAAAATTATGCCCGCAAGTGCGGGCAAAATACCTAGTAAAAAATATATTAACATGTTTTAAAGTACATGATTTAAATAAATGATTAATAACAGATAATTTTGTATTGTTAAAAATATTAAATACCTTTTGGGTCTGAAAATAATAATTGATTTTTTGATCTTTTAAGGTGAAAAGTTTATTTAATGTTTTTGGAGTTTTTTTATTAATACTAAACCCAAAAACCAAACTATATAATTTGTTTAAAAAATAAAAGTAATCCCTAGAATATATTCCATAAATAATCATTGGTTTAATTTAAGTATAATTAGTAGATTTTCATATTCCATATTTTGATGATATATATTCTTTTAGAACATTCCATATTTGTAGAAGAAAATATATGTTTTTGGTATACATATAGATACCTGCCGCATTTTGAAGGTAATTTACATTAAGGTCGTCTCTTTACATTAATTGTGTTGGTTTAATTTAAGTAATACAATTCAATCAATTATGTGACTTATATTATTTGTAACATTCTAGAAAAGATCCAAATTTAAATGACAACTTGTATCAGCAGATAAAAAGAATGACTATATTTTAATAGAGTAGATGGTGTAATTTGTAGGAGTCAAAACACACAATCAAAATTTGTAAAAGAAAACATAATTTTTGGGGGGGGGTACGAAAGTTTTGGGCCATAAACAGTTGAAACAAAACAGGCCTTTTACTCAAAATCAACGGTGCTCTTGCAAAGAATCTTCTGGATACCCTCTCTCTCTCTCACCTATCTAAACCCTAACTAACCCACTCTCCCTCACTTCATTTCCTTATCCACAAAGCCCAGAACTTTCTCTTTGCTCCGGTCTGAAGAAATGGCGTCCGCAAACGCTCTCTCTTCCACTTCCGTCCTCTGCTCTTCACGACAGGTGAAGCGTTTGTCTGAGATTTAACCATTAACTTCTTCTATTTCATTCAATTTTGGCTTCTGTCTGTATGCTTTGGTTGTTTTCTGGGTTAGTGAAAAGTTGGTTACCTTTCTCAATTCCGCTTCTTGAAATGCTTTAGTGGTTTATAGGTTGGTGAAAAAATGGTTACTTTGTATGTGGAAATAGATTGAGATTGAATCTGAATTAACAGGTATTCTTGTATATTCTTGTGGGTGTGTGGTGTGCAGGGAAGGCTGAGTGGTGGGAATCAGCAAAAGGGTCAAAGAGTAAGCTACAGGAGACGTTTTACTGTTAGAGCTAATGTAAAGCAGATTGCTTTCGACCAGAACTCAAGAGCTGCTCTCCAAGCTGGTATCGACAAGCTTGCTGATGCTGTTGGTCTCACTCTTGGCCCTAGAGGTATTATCATTATTACTTGATTTCACATTCTCAATGTGCAAAAAGCTGTATCTTCTTCTTATCTTGTTGTGATGTGATGTTTTGAAGGGAGAAATGTGGTGTTGGATGAATTTGGAAGTCCCAAGGTGGTGAATGATGGAGTCACCATTGCTAGGGCTATTGAGCTACCTGATGCCATGGAGAATGCTGGTGCTGCTCTCATCCGTGAGGTTGCTAGTAAGACTAATGACTCTGCTGGTGATGGCACAACCACTGCCTCTGTCCTTGCTCGGGAAATCATCAAACACGGATTGTTGAGTGTCACTTCTGGTGCCAATCCTGTGTCCCTCAAGAGGGGAATCGATAAGACTGTTCAAGCTTTGATCGAAGAGCTTGAGAAGAAAGCTAGACCTGTCAAAGGTGGCAGTGACATCAAAGGTACTGTTATCTGTATCCAGTGACCTTCCTTGTTGTTATACAATGTTCTCTGCGAATTAATGATATTTTGCTTTTGTTTTTCAGCTGTGGCTACAATCTCTGCTGGAAATGATGAGCTTGTGGGAGCAATGATTGCTGATGCCATTGACAAAGTTGGACCTGATGGTGTTCTGTCTATTGAATCTTCATCCTCTTTTGAGACCACTGTCGAAGTTGAAGAAGGAATGGAGGTATGAGTTCTTTCTTATAGCTTTATGAACTCTTCAACTCTACTATGATTTGCCAATGTCTAATTTGATATTTTGTTACTTTGAATTACAGATTGACAGAGGTTACATCTCACCTCAGTTTGTTACAAACCCTGAGAAGCTACTAGTTGAGTTTGAGAATGCAAGAGTGTTGATCACTGATCAGAAGATCTCTGCAATCAAAGACATCATCCCCATCTTGGAGAAGACCACTCAGCTCCGAGCTCCATTGCTGATCATTGCAGAGGATGTTACTGGTGAGGCCTTAGCAACTCTTGTTGTGAACAAACTCCGTGGTGTCCTCAATGTGGTAGCCGTCAAGGCTCCAGGATTTGGAGAAAGAAGAAAAGCTATGCTTCAGGATATCGCAATCTTGACAGGTATGTGCATATACAATAGCTTAGGTTTGGTTTTCTAATCTATTGTCTCTCATGTGTTCTGAACTTTGTGTCATTTTGTAATTGTTGTTCTTCAGGAGCTGAGTACCAAGCCCTTGACATGGGCTTGCTGGTCGAAAACACAACCATTGATCAGTTGGGTATTGCTCGTAAGGTGACCATAAGCAAAGATTCAACTACACTTATCGCAGATGCTGCTTCCAAGGACGAACTACAAGCTCGTATTTCCCAGTTGAAGAAAGAACTGTTTGAGACTGATTCTGTGTACGACTCAGAGAAGCTCGCTGAGAGAATAGCCAAACTCTCTGGTGGTGTTGCCGTCATTAAAGTCGGAGCAGCAACTGAAACCGAGCTTGAGGACCGTAAGCTTCGTATTGAAGACGCAAAGAACGCAACATTTGCTGCTATCGAAGAAGGAATAGTTCCTGGTGGTGGTGCGACTTTGGTGCATCTCTCCACTGTTATCCCTGCCATTAAGGAGAAGTTTGAGGACGCTGATGAACGTTTGGGAGCTGACATAGTACAAAAGGTAAGTTTTAACATTCCGTTTAAAAGCTAGAAATGATTAATTAAAGTTCAATCTTATGAGGGTTTGTGTGTTCTCAATACAACGACAGGCTTTGGTGGCACCAGCTGCACTTATTGCGCAGAACGCTGGAATAGAAGGAGAAGTTGTGGTTGAGAAGATTATGTTCAGTGAATGGGAGCAAGGGTACAATGCCATGACTGACACATATGAGAATCTGTTGGAAGCTGGAGTGATTGATCCAGCTAAAGTGACAAGGTGTGCGCTCCAGAACGCTGCTTCGGTTGCAGGAATGGTTCTGACCACTCAGGCCATTGTTGTTGACAAACCTAAACCTAAGGCTCCTGCTGCTGCTGCACCTGAGGGCCTCATGGTGTAATGACATCTGTTATATGATCTGTTGTCCCCAGTTATCTGCATTGTTTTTACTTTTTATTTTCTGGGGAGATGAGTAGTAGCTTGTTAAACGAGAAATAATTATCTTTTTTGAGTAAGGATCGTTCTTTATTGCAAATATAAAACTGTGAAAGGTTTTGTATTGAGAAAGTATGTTTATTAGCAAACTGTGAAATTATCCTCTCAACTTGCATTATCGGCCAACTCTAAGAGCATCTCCAACCCCACTCCAAAAACCACTCCAAACTCCATTTTGCAGTAAAATCTTCTCCAACCCTCCTCTAAAACTCACTCCAAAATGGAGTAACAAACATGATTACTCCAAATATGGAGTAAACCAACTCATTACTCCAAAATGGAGTTGAACTTTTTTATTTATCAAATAGTCCTTCACATTTATATATGTTTTATTTTTAATAAAATATTATTATAAATAAGTACTATATATATTATAAAATTTACTGTTATATTTCTTAATTATATAAATAGCCTCATTTTTAATAAAATATTATGATAGATAAGTATATTAATATTATTTTACTATATATTAGAAAATTTACTGTTAATATTTCTTAATTATATAAGTAGCCTCGTCTTTAATAAAAATATTATTTTAAAATTTACTGTTAATATTTTTAATTATATAAATAACCATCTGATGAAATCTTTTATACAACATAATATATATAATATAAAACATAAAAGATCATACATATAGAAAATGAAAGATAAGCACCATACAAAAGAAATAACATAAAATAAAACTTACAACAAATATAATTGCTTAATAATCCGATAAATCATTTTCGGATCCATTAGAATTATTAAAATAATCCGATAAAATATTATTAAATTCTTACATAACATGATAATAGAAGATGATTGTGATCTCGAGGTGCTAATTGAAGTTGAAAGAGAAGTCATGTCAAGGAAAATTGAAATTGAAGAAAATAATAATGTGAGGTTCCAAAAGTTTCTTTCCCATTTCAGAGAAATCAAAGATAAAGAAGCTCATTTTCTACTTCGAAATGCATTAGTTGATCATTTGTGGGAAAATTATTATAATTCTAATGAATAATTTAGAATCGATGTATTATTTTGTTTAAGCTATATAATGTAATTTTTAATGTATTAAATGTATTCTTTTAAAACCTTGTTGAGTAGTTTTATTTATATAATAAAAATTTAATAGTGGTTAATATTGTATTTAATAGAAATGCTATAAATTTAAAATGGACTGTTTTGCAAATAGTATAAATGAAAGGTGATATTCCTAATTTTGAAATAAATATAATATTAAAAATAATCTTTTGGAGTAGAAAATGGAGTAATACATTGGAGTAAAACTCAACTGCATTTTGGAGTTACTCCATTTTAGAGTAGAAAATGGAGTAATACATTAGAGATGCTCTAATGCGCTAAACATCGTCCTCATGATGTAGACCCTCACTGATGGTATTAGCCTAGTATGGGGCTACTCTTTCCATGGTGTTCTCTCTATCCGAAGCCATTAATTAAATTTTTTCAACCACACATTTGCGTCTTTCGGATATAATCATTATATGTACCCTTTGCTGTCTAATACCTGAATCCATCACCATATCCAAAGGCTTGTAATCTGAGTCTTTAGAAGCCAAGTTTTCTTTTCCTTTACAACATCTTCATTCCGTTATACTCAAACGCATTCACTAGAACTGGTTCAACAATCTCATCGTTTCTAGGCCTAGGCATGGATATTCGGTTGCCAGTTCAGCTTGGTTGGATATTTCAGGTAGGAGTTTAGATGATCCATTTACTACTTTGGCCTATGTCGATTTGGTTCGGGTAATTTCGGATTCAGACAGTAAATCTAGAAACTTAAAAAAAACAAAAAAATTGATTTTCATTTGGTTCTGGTTCGGTTGAGTGTAGCTCATGTAATTCAGATTAAATATCGGGTATATAAATATTGTATAGTTTAGATATATAATTTGAACAAAATCTCAGATACTTTCAGGTTGTTCGGCTACTTTATAAAAAATTAGTTTTCTTCACCTATTTCAGATACTTTGAATAATTTTTTCAATTATAAATATATATTTCGTATATCCGTTCAGTTATTTTGGATATAGAAATATATGAACTATTCAAATATTTAATGGTTTTGATCTGATTTGGATTTTGGGTATTTCGGTTGGTTTCTTTGGTCCCTGTTTTTTACCCATGCCTAATCTCTTCCCACACTTTCCCTGCTTTGCAGAGTCCATTCATCAACCCACGGTACGTATCCTTGTTCGAAACAACACCTCGAGAACTCATTTTGCTATGAACCCGAAAATCAAATCTTTTTAAGAGAATTTTGGGTGTACATTACACGAATAATCTATATGAAGTCGAGCAAGCTTCTTCTCTACATGGTCCTGTTGATATCGAAAGAATTTCTTCAATTAAATCACCGAAGTTTGTTCTAAACCTAGATTCCATAGAGTGGTAAACTCAAATAAAATACTTATTATGCATGCCCGTAGCTAAGATAAAACTTGATACGTACTAATGAATTATCAAATATATATTTCTGAAATAATTTTCAGAAATAGGTTAAGGGAAACCCTTATTTATTATTACACACGATGCATAAAAGAAAAAAACATGGAAGCAACAATAGAGAAATACAGAAACAGATTCATATCAAAAGCAACATAATGAAACAAGGTCTTGAGGATTGTCCATTCGATAGTGAAACTAGCTATGGATGGTCACTCAGTGATGGGAACGACGTGGACCCCAATCTTGTGAAGCACGTCACCGGATTTTCCATGGAACCCAGTGATCTTGTGACCTTCCTTTTTCAGGACAAAGCTGGAAGCAGCTTCGAGTCCAAAGGGTGGAGAGGTGCGTTTGTTTGTCGTGAACTTAAGCATCGTTATAACTCCACTTTCAGCTCCCATAACTATATCGTGACAAACTTCCACCGATGTGATGTACTCACTTGGACAATCCAGCTCGAACTGCCAAGTGCAAAAAATGGTTTAAGAGTTCATATCTATTAATTTTCAACTGGTTTTAGAATAAAAACATCGAAAGTAGAGTATGGTTTACAAAAAAAAAAGTAAAAGGAAGAAGTGAAGTAGTAATAAATATTAAATACTAACCTCCTCGTATCCAAGCAACGTTTGCTTTCCATGTTCTTCTCCCACAACAACTTCACTAGCGTCATTTTCGTACTCAAACTTCACAAAGACGATCCCGACGTGGCCTTGTCCGATGTATATCTTCTTCACATTTCGGAAAGCCCCATCGTCCCAGGAAGCTCCTCCATCACTACCTTGTCCCTCAAGTTTCTCTGAAGGAGGAGGAAGAGGATGAGAAGGAGTTAACGGAGCATAATATGCCCCGATACTATCAACACAAGAACCTGCCCGTCCATGGAACCCAACAATAGGATTGCCTTGGTTCTCCAGCAAGAACTTGGTACCAACAACTGTTCCTGCTGTTAAGGTTCTCTCTTTTGATGTTTTGAAAGTCAATGACCTAAGGACAATGCATCCATAAGGTTGAGTAACAGCGTAGCTTCCTTCCACTGATGTGATATATTCACTAGGATGATCAACCGTAATCTGTTATAATAACAGAAAAAAAATGTTTAGTAACTTCGGATACCAATTAATTAGTTTTCTATAGGAATTAGGATAACCTCATGTTTTGTTCCGATTGTGCGTCCGTGCCCATGGCTTTCCACTTGACCGGCTTTGTCATAGTCGACCTTGAGATACCTTATTGACGTGCCATCAAAATAAACGCACACTTTTTTTATGCCATCATAGTCACCACCATGATCATAACCTCTGCCCGTAGCCTGACCACCTTGCATTGGCGATTTGTTTAGGGCCATCACGTCGAATCTGTAGAGATTTTGTTACTTAGTCATTGACTTATTCGAATCATTACCAATCCAATGTGAGTGATGAAAAATCATTTATAGGAACAAGCAAGCAGATGTTAGTGGGATAAAATTAAACAGATTTAACTAATTTATATAAGTTATAACTACTATCCATTCTAAGTTGGAGATATATATCTTGCCTTATACAGTTTCTGAAAGTTTCAGTCATGTTTTATAAATTGTTTTTACATAATTTATAAAATCTGATAGAGAGAGATTATTACCTCTTTTGCTGGAGGGAGGAAGATAAAAGAGCTGAGGATCAGAGTTGAGTGATGATGTATAAGCAAGTAGTGAAGGTGCCTTTTTATACACAGTTTTACATTGGTTAGTTATCTGGAAATGAATTTATTAATATGACCCGTGGTCCGCGAGGCCATATACAATAATAATCCTAACTTATCGTTGTCTAAGTTCGTCACTGATAAATGGTGCCCATACACGTGAAACTTCGAAAATACGGTCTCACGGCTCACGGTAACGTGCGGGCGATAAAACTGCATTTTCGAAAAAGAGTTATCTAATTCTTACCACTTGCAACGAGGATTTGACTTTATCTGGCATTAAGTCCAAATAAAGCTAGCCTATACAACTCGAGCAGAAAAATAAGAAGCTAAACATGAAGCGTTTAGAACATCTCCAATGTATTACTCCATTTTTTACTTCAAAATATAGTTGAATTTTACTCCAATGTATTACTTCATTTTCTATTCCAAAAAATATTTCTAATATATTATGTTTTATAATTATTTTAAATTAGTAATATCACCTTTCATTTATACTATTTTCAAAACAGTTCATTTCAATTTATAGAATTTTTATTATATAAATAAAATTACTCAACAAGATTTTAAAAGAAAATATTTAGTACATTAAAATGACATTACATAACTTAAACACAATAATACATTTTTTTTTTGATCAAAAAACACAATAATACATCAATTCTATATTATTCATTAGAATTAGAATAATTTTCCCACAAATGATCAACTAATGCATTTCGAAGCAAAAAATGACTTTCTTTATCTTTGATTTTTCTGAAACAGGAAAAAAACTCTTGGAACCTCACATTATTATTTTCTTCAATTTCAACTTCTCCAGGCAAAACTTCTCTTTCAACTTTAATTGGCGCCTCGAGATCGCAATCATCTTCTATTATCATGTTACGTAAGAATTTAATAATATTTTATCGGATTATTTTAATGGATCCAAAGATGATTCATCGGATTATTAAGCAATTATCTTTGTTGTAAGTTTTATTTTATATTATTTCTTTTGTATGGTGCTTATCTTTTATTTTCTATATGTATGATTTTTTTATGTTTTACATTATATATATTTTGTTGCATAAAAGAGTTCATCGGATGGTTATTTATATAATTAAGAATTATTAACAGTAAATTTTATAATATCTATAGTAAAATAATATTAATATACTTATTTATAATAATATTTTATTAAAAACACGGCTATTTATATAATTAAGAAATATTATCAGTAAATTTTATAATATATATAGTAAAATAATACTAATATACATATTTATTATAATATTTTATAAAAATGAGACTGTTTATATAATTAAAAAATGTTAACAGTAAATTTTATAATATATATAGTATAATAGTATGAATATACTTATTAATAGTAATATTAAAAATGAGGCTGTTTATATAATTAAGAAATGTTAACAGTATATTTTATAATATATATAGTAAAATAATATTAATATACTTATTTATAATAATATATTATTAAAAATGAAACATATATAAATGTGGACGACCATTTTGGAGTAATGAGTTGGTTTACTCCATATTTGGAATAATCATGTTTGTTACTCCATTTTGGAGTGGGTTTTGGAGTAGGGTTGTAGATGATTTTACTGCAAAATGAAGTTTGGAATTCCGTCGGAATTCTGTCGGAATATCCCAATAGAATTCTGACAAACTTTAGGGTTTCGATAGAAGTTTGAAGATTGTCAAAATTTCGTAGGAAAATTTCGACGAAATACCGACGAACAATTCAGTTTCGTCGGAATTCCTTTAGATTTGCAAAGTTGTCTAAAAATGTATAATTGGATACTTAAAATATCCAAATAAGACATATATATATGTTCATTATAAGAAATTAGTTCATATATAAAGGCTTCATCATGTTTTTCATATAACAGAATTATTCATATACGTATTAACGTACTCGTAACATCCTCCAATAATACATACTTATGCAAACATATCATGGTCACATAAGACTAGATTTTGATTTTGTATAATAGTGTGTGTGAAACAATTAAATATATAAGTTATTCCTAAGTAAATCACTTACATACTATCAATGATTTGTATGTGCTCGAGGCTTATTGATTTGAAACTCCAAATTTCATTTTTTTTTGGAATTCAATCGATAATAGCGATGATATTTTGACAAAATTTTGACAAAATTCCAACGGATAATACCGACAAAATTCCGATGGATTATACCGACGAAATTCCTACAGACTCTGTCCTCGACCAATCAAAAGACATGCAGAGAGTCAAAGTTTCTTGAGACTTGCTTTGTCGATATTCGCGAGTACTCCGACGGATTGTTACCGACGATAAGCTTTTCATCAGAGTTTTCATCAGAATTTCGTCGGTATATTTTACTTTACCCGGGATAAATATTCGCGAAATTATTTGGTATACTGTGTAAATTAAAGAAACCGACGGAATTCCATCGTCATATTTTTAATATATAAACTAACATTTTCTTCTTTTCCCTCATTTTCTTCTCTTCTTTCCTCCGCGTCTCTCTCTCTTCTCTCTGTCAAAAACCCCTGATTCCGACGAGATCTCCTCTAAAATATCTTCTCTAAATATGTAAGTTTTTGAATCCCTCTTTAGATTTTTGTTTTTAGGTTTGGAATGTTAAATTTGTAGATTTTAGGTTTTGAATCTAAAGATTTAGGATTGAATTGATAGTATACTTGAGTTGGAGTTGTTGATTTTTGATATCATGTGAGTTGGACAGTTGGCTCTGATACCAGTAAATCAGTAAAAAGAATTTTTGAACATTCGAAAAATGAACGCAATAGTCTATCACACGAAATAAAATCATAGACCGAGTGAACAAGCTTGAAAAGCTAATTAACCATAGATGGCCAGGATGTTACAAAACTTTTTGTTGTGTCTCCGTGACGTCGATCCAACAAGAAATTGAATGATACAGAATCACATGTTAAATGTTAAGTTTTATATTAAGATGCGTATGCTGAATTAGCGGACATTAGTAATATTTTTATTCCGGTTTGAGTTTTGAGGCATGTGGTTAAGATTAAGTCATTAATCATAAAATTGATTTATAACATGCTTGCGTATTGTTGTTATTCGCATTTTTAATTATTTAACCTCAGATCTTCTTTTATGGGATTATAAATTTATCATTTGTATATTAACTGAAAAAAAATTTCTAAACTTTAACATAAATTTCTATTTTATTATTATTCTTTTAGTTTTCTATTTTAACAAAAATTTACAAATAATTTTAATATATATCTTTATTTATGAACAAATGATATATATAAGTTAATATGACTTTTTTACAATATACTTATATTTAGTTTATTTTTTATTAATATTATATATGAATTTATATTGTAATGGTGATATATAACTTCTTAGTTATAAAATATTTCAAAATTTTTTTCTAAAATAAATATTTATACATCTCTTATATAATAAAGTAGATTTTTTTCTTTCCATGGAGGCAAAATATGATATTTGTCATTCTATCATTTGTTGAAAGTGTTTTAGGTCAAAGTATAAAAATCTTTTATTTTATTTGAATTTTTATTGATTTTTACAAATGATATGATTTTTAATAAATATTTTTAGTCCAGTAAATTTTTAAAAAATTCTCACTTTCAACTTATTCTTCAAGATGGATGACAACTTTCATATCTCTAAATATGAAATATCTAAATAAATATCCTTGATGCTTAAATCTATTTGATCGATTTTAAAATCAATATCTTTGATTCTTAAATCTATTTTCATTTTGAAATCAATATCCTTGATTGCCAAAAGATTTCCGTAAAATAAGAGTTTAAAAGAAAAGAAAAAGCTCCAACAAGAGTCGAGCCCAAACGAGGAAAAACTGAATTACACAACAATTCTAAAACTGAAAGTAAACAAAAAAACGAAAAGACAATTAAAATCATTTTGAAATCAATATCCTTGATTTTTTAAATCTATTTGCTCGATTTTAAAATCATATGATTTATCAAATATTTGGATATCTTTGGTTTTCGTAAAAAGCTATTTTCATAAAGCTATTTTCATTTTGAATTCAAAATCTTTGATTCTTAATTAAATCTATTTGCTCGATTTTAAATCATATGATTTATCAAAGATTTCTAAAATTCAAATGTTTTTCTAAATCCATTAAAATAGTGGAATAAATAACCCCCACTAAATGTTATCACATGTTTACTATGATTATTCAAGAATCAAAATTGTATTAATTACCAAAATTTCATGCAAGCATATGTAATGTGTGTAAGTTTACAAAAAGTTTTTTAGTATATAGTTTTGTTTTAAGACTATCAAGTATTATAAAATATTATCGACTCAATATAGTAGCATTATAGTAGTTATGAATGATTATATTACAAAATTTAGTATACATTACTTTAATATACGATTGTTGGCAAAAATAAATATACAATTATTTATTTCAAAAAAGTTTTAAAATTTTAAACAAAACTAAGAAATATAAAGTTATATAAATTTGAATTATCAGGTATAATATTTTATAGTTTTTTGTTCAGTAAATTGGAGAAAATTATTACCCGCTTCAACATCAAAAACAAAATTTTATAAAAAAAAATTCTATAATAGACATTGTCAGAAGTTTGAAGAATAAAACAATTCTTATACAAAGACATTATTAAATACATCAGTTTGTCAAAAATAGAACAATAACCAAGTAATCTCATCTAGACATTACAGCTTTTGATCAAATATCATGTAAATTTATTTAAAATCTTAGTATAAATAAAATAGAAAACATATAACATCTACTGTCAATATTAGTTCGTTTACAATTTAATAATTTAAACTTCATTTTATGATTTATATTTTTAAAAATCGATATATAGATATTATATATATTTAAAATTGATATAATAAATTAAATTAAATTAAAATTATATAAGAAAACCTGGGCGTAGTCCGGAAAAACCACTAGTTGACTATAATGTTTAAATGTCAATACCATATCTCTTCTCATAACTCATATTTACTTATGATAACTCATACCATAACTCTTCTCATAACTCATATTTACTTATGATAACTCATACCATAACACTGGACTGTAAACTTGTCCAAGATAACTCGTAAGTGATGGGTAATCCGTTTACAAGTTTTGAGGCTAAATTACTTTTTAGTGAATCATCTTTTAATTTTCATAATAGCAAAATCGCAACTGGTCACTTTGATAAACTTGTCCAAGATAACGTGTAAGTGATGGGTAATTTGTTCACAATTTGGCAACTACGCTCGGCATTACGGAAAGGTTTGATGTCTTTGCCTTGTGTGATTCTCGGTTGCATGTGTCAGGCTTGTTCAGGCGGGCAGAATAAATGACGACCACCTCTTAGACCATCTCTAATAGTTGCTTCTTTTTTCACTCTAAATATAAAGTAGTCTAAAAATAGAGAAGAATTTTACTCTAATGGTTAATTCTATTTTTTACTCTATAAAGAAATATTTTTATTATATTTTTTCTTAACTTATATATTAATTTATTATTTAATCCATACTTTAAACTGTTTAAATTTTAACTTTATATTTAATATTCCAGCAATAACACAACACACTTACAATATTATTAAATCTAAATGATTTTTTTTAAACGAAAATATGATTACAACACTTAAATAAAAAAATAAATGATATAAATTCAGTTTTAGGCATCATTATCATTAGTGTACTTCTCCCACAAATGATAAGTTTGAATCTTTTGTATTTTAATTATGGATTATGTATTTTTAGTTTATTAATTATTACTCTATCTATTTCAAAAAAAGATGCATATTCTAGAAAAAACTTTTGTTTAAAAAATTGTATTTTTAGATTTCCAATACATTTTTATCAACTAATAATGAAAAATTGAAAATTTCAAAAATATTAATTGCATTTCTTGAAATTTTATTGATTCAAAGATATGATAAATATAAAATTAGAAAAAATTATGCATTAATAACTAAGTTTTAATACATTTTCTTAATAAGTGTGAAAAAATTAAAATATGTATTATTTTGAAACAGATGGAGTATGTTGTTTTTTTTTAGTTTAATATAAATTATTAGTGCATTTAAGGTATCAGCTAATTTAATAATTAATTTTATAAATTTAATGATATTTAAAAATATAAAGTTACAATATATAATTTTATTAAGGTAAAAAGTGAAAACTTGTAAAAGTGAGGGACCATTTTATAAAGAAAAAGTTCAACTTCAAAAATACAGTAAATTAATAGAGTGAAACATTGGCTTTTGATCTCCAAATTTTTTGAAAAGAAATTTATGTACATAGGCCTAAACAAAATTAAAAATTTAGCTTTCCAAATTTATAAAAAAAAAAAAAGTTAAAATCATTAGAACATTATCTTAGGCCCCCCTTAATCTCTGGACTAACCCCTGCGTACAACTACCACTTCAACTCACAAGTTGAACGTTTAGCTTGTAGTGCGTGCAACTACAGTTATATAAAATTTGTATTGAAACTCTGGTTTCAAAGAAGAAGAAAAAAACATTAGTTTTTTCAAGACATGAAGGTGATCAGAAACCGTGCCGTTCTCATATTAGAAAACAAAACATCGCTACTTAAAACTTGCCGGTCTAAAACTCCAAACTCCGACGAACGGAGTGGAAAGAAAAAGAGATCCAAAAGCCGACGCGACGATGACTATACAAAGCTTCCTCAAAACCCTAAAGACAACTAAACGAACATACCCATCTTCAATCTACAATCTCCTCATCTCTTCTTCCTCCACTACCCAAATCCACGACTCACCGGAAAACCCAATCTCCGATCTCAGCCTCCCCACTCTTCGCCGTATCTTATCCGACCCAGATATCAAATCCCGTAAATGCGTCTCCTTTTTCCAGTTCATCCTCGAAAACCCATCTCTTTTCTCCTTCCAACCTGATCTCAGAACACACTTGTCTCTGTCTCTCCGTGTCCTGTCGGAGAGGAAGTTCTCCGTCGCGCGGGAACTGTTGAATCCCGACATTCTCAGGTACCCTTTTCACGTCATCGCCTCTAGCGTCTTCGATGAGTGTGGATTCGAGACGAAAGTCGTCGCGAGGCTATTTAATTCGATGATCATGGTGTATTCAGACAGTGGGAGATACGATGAAGTTGTCGAGGTTTTCGAGTGTATGAAGAACAATGAGGTTAAAATTGATGAAAAGACTTTGACTTTGCATTTGATGAACCTCAGGAGAAGTGGTGAGGTTGAGTTAGCTTACGACTTCTTTCGTCTAATGGTTGCTGCTTCGGAGTTAGGTGTTGTGTCTGTGTACTCTTTAACGGTTGTTGTCTCTGCGTTGTGTTGCCACGGAGAGATCAAGAGAGCAAGAGAGTTGGTGGAGGAGGTTGAAATTATTAAGCCTAATATCGTTACGTTTAGGGCTATGATTGATTGTTGTGTCAAGAGATGGAAGTTTGAAGAGTTGGATTTGGTTCTTGAGTTGATGGAGAAGGAAAGGGTGAGTCTTGATCTTGATGCTTACAAGATTTTGATTGAGGGTTTCGCTAGTTATGGTAAGGTTGAAGATGCTGAGAGGTTAGTTTTGAGGATGCATGATGAGAAGCTTAAGGTGGAGACTTATCTGTATAATTTGATTATTAATGGGTATTCTCGGTTGGGATTAGTGGAGAAAGCGTTTGAGATACAGAGTGGAATGAGTTCTCGAGGTGTAGTTTCGAATAAGGATACGTATTGGGGGTTGATGAATGGCCTGTGCAAAGCAGGGAAAGTGTGTGAAGCGATGAGATTGTTGAGTGAGTTGAGAGTGAATGGGTTTGAGATGGATGAAGCAATGTATACGACGTTGATTGACGGGTGTTACGGAGCAGGAATGATGGATAACGCTTTGGAAGTGGTGGCTGAGATGGTTAGGGAAGGATTTATTCCTGATGGCACATTATTTGAAAAGTTAGCTGACGCATTGTTTGAAGTAAACCGGGAAGAGGCAGCGATGATGACTACATTCGTTGTTAAGAGCGGCATCAAACCAAATTCTTGTTCCAATGTGGTGAAGGGAGAGGAAGACTTATCTGCTGTCCTGGCTCCTTAAGACTGAGATTACAAGCCTTTTGATATGGTAAATCTAACATGGATTCAGGTATTAGACAAAAGAGAGTCAACGTGGTGATTATATCTGAAAGATGCATGTGTTGTACGCTCTTGAGGAGACCAATGGCTTAGGAAACAGAGAAACCATAAAAGAGCAGCACATATTAGGCTAAGACTATTACTGAGTCTGCATAATATGTGTCTAGAGGATGGTGTTCATATACTGCATTAGAGTCGCATTAATAATGATGAAGGTGGGAATGGTTTGTAAACAACAGCAGGCTGAATAAGGTGAAGCAGTAGTAGATAAGGAGGATATATATGATGAGCTAAGGGCATTGACATGAGTTTGATTGGGACATGTTATTGCAGAAGTCTCATTTGTCCATATGATTGTTATTCACATTTCCGATTTACTTTCTCTGCCAATAAACATCATTCAGAGTAGCTCCAGAATCTCCACTTCTCCAGCATTCTAAATACAAAACCTTTCAGAGTTTTATTATGCAATCAGAACGATCCTTAACTCAAAAAGATAATTATTTCTCGTTTAACAAGCTACAACTCATTTCCCCAGAGAAAAAAAAAACAATGCAGATAATTGGGGACAACAGATCATATAACAGATGTCATTACACCATGAGGCCCTCAGGTGCAGCAGCAGCAGGAGCCTTGGGTTTAGGTTTGTCAACAACAATGGCCTGAGTTGTCAGTACCATACCTGCAACAGAAGCAGCGTTCTGAAGAGCACACCTCGTCACTTTAGCTGGATCAATCACTCCAGCTTCCAACAGATTCTCATAGGTGTCAGTCATGGCATTGTACCCTTGCTCCCATTCACTGAACATAATCTTCTCAACCACAACTTCTCCTTCTATTCCAGCGTTCTGAGCAATAAGTGCAGCTGGTGCCACCAAAGCCTGTCGTTGTTTTGAAAACACACAAACCCTCATAAGATTGAACTTTAATTAATCATTTATAGCTTTTAAACGGAATGTTAAAACTTACCTTTTGTACTATGTCAGCTCCCAAACGTTCATCAGCGTCCTCAAACTTCTCCTTAATGGCAGGGATAACAGTGGAGAGATGCACCAAAGTCGCACCACCACCAGGAACTATTCCTTCTTCGATAGCAGCAAATGTTGCGTTCTTTGCGTCTTCAATACGAAGCTTACGGTCCTCAAGCTCGGTTTCAGTTGCTGCTCCGACTTTAATGACGGCAACACCACCAGAGAGTTTGGCTATTCTCTCAGCGAGCTTCTCTGAGTCGTACACAGAATCAGTCTCAAACAGTTCTTTCTTCAACTGGGAAATACGAGCTTGTAGTTCGTCCTTGGAAGCAGCATCTGCGATAAGTGTAGTTGAATCTTTGCTTATGGTCACCTTACGAGCAATACCCAACTGATCAATGGTTGTGTTTTCGACCAGCAAGCCCATGTCAAGGGCTTGGTACTCAGCTCCTGAAGAACAACAATTACAAAATGACACAAAGTTCAGAACACAAGAGAGACAATAGATTAGAAAACCAAACCTAAGCTATTGTATATGCACATACCTGTCAAGATTGCGATATCCTGAAGCATAGCTTTTCTTCTTTCTCCAAATCCTGGAGCTTTGACGGCTACAACGTTGAGGACACCACGGAGTTTGTTCACGACAAGAGTTGCTAAGGCCTCACCAGTAACATCCTCTGCAATGATCAGCAATGGAGCTCGGAGCTGAGTGGTCTTCTCCAAGATGGGGATGATGTCTTTGATTGCAGAGATCTTCTGATCAGTGATCAACACTCTTGCATTCTCAAACTCAACTAGTAGCTTCTCAGGGTTTGTAACAAACTGAGGTGAGATGTAACCTCTGTCAATCTGTAATTCAAAGTAACAGAAATATCAAATTAGACATTGGCAAATCATAGTAGAGTTGAAGAGTTCATAAAGCTATAAGAAAGAACTCATACCTCCATTCCTTCTTCAACTTCAACAGTGGTCTCAAAAGAGGATGAAGATTCAATAGACAGAACACCATCAGGTCCAACTTTGTCAATGGCATCAGCAATCATTGCTCCCACAAGCTCATCATTTCCAGCAGAGATTGTCGCCACGGCTGACAATATCATGAAACGAATTTGATTAACATTATCGGCAATCAACATTAAATAAAAACAAGGAAGGTCACTGGATAAGGTTAGTACCTTTGATGTCACTACCACCTTTGACAGGTCTAGCTTTCTTCTCAAGCTCTTCAATCAAAGCTTGAACAGTCTTATCGATTCCCCTCTTGAGGGACACAGGATTGGCACCAGAAGTGACACTCAACAATCCGTGTTTGATGATTTCCCGAGCAAGGACAGAGGCAGTGGTAGTCCCATCACCAGCAGAGTCATTAGTCTTACTCGCAACCTCACGGATGAGAGCAGCACCAGCATTCTCCATGGCATCAGGTAGCTCAATAGCCCTAGCAATGGTGACTCCATCATTCACAACCTTGGGACTTCCAAATTCATCCAACACCACATTTCTCCCTTTAGAAAAAAAAAACATCACAACAAGATAAGAAGAAGATACAGCTTTTTGCACATTGAGAATGTGAAATCAAGTAATAATAATAATACCTCTAGGGCCAAGAGTGAGACCAACAGCATCAGCAAGCTTGTCGATACCAGCTTGGAGAGCAGCTCTTGAGTTCTGGTCGAAAGCAATCTGCTTTATATTAGCTCTAACAGTAAAACGTCTCCTGTAGCTTACTCTTTGACCCTTTTGCTGATTCCCACCACTCAGCCTTCCCTGCAACCACACCCACAAGATATGAATTATCAGTTAACCACAATATCAATCGATTCTTATATTTCTACATACAAAGTAACCATTTCAAGAAATTGAATTGAGAAAGTAACCAATTTTCACCAACCCAGAACCACTAAAGCCTTCAGACAGAAGCCAAACTGATTGAAATAGACTAATCTCAGACAAACACTTCACCTGTCGTGAAGAGCAGAGGACGGAGGCGGAAGAGAGAGCGTTTGTGGACGCCATTTTCTTCAGACCGGAGCAAAAGAGAACGTTCTGGGCTTCTTGTGGATAAGGAAATGGTTTAGTCTCTTAAAAGGAGAGTGAGGGAGTTAGGGTTTAGATAAATAGAGTAGGTGAGAGAGAGAGAGGATCCAGAAGATTCGTGACGAGAGCCGTTGATTTCAGAAAAAGGCTTCAACCTAAAAAGGCCTGTTTTATTTCAACTGTTTATGGCCCAAAATGTAAAAGCAGTCCTTCCAATTTGTTGCATACATCCTTTTTTCACATGTCGAATAAGAAATTTGATTGGTTTAGCCACATTTGTTGGTAAAATTAAAATGGTTGTATGAGAAGATGCAAGTCGGACCTTATACATTTTGAAAATTTGATTTGATAAAGTTGGTGACTGATTAATTTATCCCAGTAGTCATGCCCAGGGGTGGATCTAGCACAATATTTAGACGGGGGCACATCAAAAAAAATTCATCACATGTTGTAAGAAGAGAGAACATTACATAAACTAGTATTAGTTAGTAAAGGAAAAATTAAAATCAGACGGGATCACGGGACCCCACAGGTCTCCACTTATGTCCGCCCCTGGACATGCCAAGTGGAAGAGTCACGTGGATGCAAGATACTGAATCAGAGAATGATGAACTTAACGAATATATTTATGTTTTAATGAAGCGCTAATGTAGATTACGCAGACAATCTTTCAAAAAGTATGTGGAGTAGAGAAATATAAAGGGACTATATTAGAAAGTTTCTATATTTTCTCTAGGGTTACGTCTTTAAATTGGCTTATGCCTTTGTATATATACTTATGTTCATTGTCAATACAAATCAACACATTGCTTTATATTTTATGGTATCAGAGCAAATAGATCTCATGACCTAAATTTTTTTTTTTCTTTCTCGATCTCTACTATTGATCTTCTTCTTCCTTCTATTAATTCTATCCATCACTCAGAATGGCGGAACACAATACACTGCTCTCTACTACTTCTACAAACACGCAGGCTACCTCCAGAGATTTCTCACCATACTATCTCAGCCATTCTGACAATCTTGGAGCTCTTATTACACATGTTATACTTACTCAAGAGAATTACACTTAATGGTCCACTGAGATTCGCAATTCTTTGCAAGCCAAGCATAAAACATGTTTTATTGATGGTATCATACCAAAACCAGGATCCGAACCTGACCTGTCACGATGGCTTGCAGTAAACTCAATGATCGTTGGCTGGATCCGTACATCCATTGATTCAAAACTCAGATCAACCGTTACTCATGTACCTGAAGCACACAAGCTTTGGGAATCTTTATGCTTCCGCTTCTCTGTCAAAAACGACACGCGTCTACATCAACTACAAGACGAGACTTCAAACTGAAAACAGAATGGACAAATGGTTCTTGAATACTATGGTCGACTTACTAAGGTATGAGAGGATTTGCAAAACATGAAGACGATTCGTCCTAGTACATGTGCTGCTGCGGTCGACATAGAAAAAGAAAGAGAAGATGCTAAGGTTCATAAGTTCTTGTTTGGACTAGATGACTCAAGGTTCGCTACGATACGATCTTGTATTACTGATGAGGATCCGCTTCCGGATCTCAATATTGTTTATTCACGGGTTATTCGTGAAGAAGATAATATGGCATCTAGTCGTTCTACAGAACATCGAACAGAGGCTTTAGGTTTTGCAGCCAAAACAGAGTCTCCAAGGGACTCCTCTCTTACTGCAACTGAAACGGATCCTTCACGCTCAAGGGATCCTTCACGTTCTTGTACTCATTGTGGCAGAACAGGCCATGATATCACTGAATGTTTTCTGGTTCACGGCTTCCCTGAGTGGTACCAGGAACAACAAAAACACAACTCTGGCTCAAACTCATACCGAGGAGGGCGGTCGGTCAAACAGCAATCGAGGACGTGGGCGTGGACGAGCTAATGCAATACAAAGAACTTCTCAAATCAACCAGGATCAAATCGCATCCTTGATCTCTCTCTTGCAGAACCAGCAGAGCAATCTCTCTTCGGATCGTTTGTCGGGTAAAACAACACTTTCTGATGTTATTATTGACACATGGGCTTCACACCATATGACGGGTGATCTCACATTTCTCCATGATGTTCATGACATTGTATCATCACCTGTTATGTTCCCTAATGGACGAGAATCCCATGCTACTAAACAAGGAACCTTACGTCTTAGTAAAGACTATGTGCTCCGCGACGTCCTCTTTGTCCCTGATTTTTATTGCACTCTTATTTCAGTGTCCAAACTGTTGAAACAAACTGGATGCATAGCAATATTCACTGATACATTATGTGTTTACAGGATTGTTTTTCGAGGACTCTAATTGGAGCAGGTGAAGAACGTGAGGGGTTTTACTACTTTACGGGGGTTAAGGTTGCACGTAGTCATGGAGCTTCGAAAACTAAAACTTCTGCTTCAACTATGTTGCATCGTCGTCTTAGTCATCCATCCTACAAAGCTTTGTTTACTCTACCGGTGTTTAAGGATTTAAAAATAGATTTTAGTGATTCTCAATGCGATATTTGTTTTAAAGCCAAGAAAACTCGTCAAGTGTTTCAAGATAGTATTAATAAAGCTGATTTTCCTTTTGAATTGATTCATTGCGATGTGTGGGGACTTTATCGAACACCATCCTCTTGTGGTGTTGTATACTTTCTCACTATAGTAGATGATTACTCACGAGCAGTTTGGACATTCCTCATGCTCGAAAAGTCTGAGGTGGCGTCATTGCTTCGTAATTTTGGTGCTATGAGCGAACGAAAATTTGGACGCAAGGTTAAGATGATACAAACATATAACGACACCGAGTTCAGGACCCTTGCACCTTATTTTGTGAATCTGGTATTATCCATCAAACCTCCTGCACATATACACCACAACAAAACGGTAGAGTGGAAAGGAAACACATACATATTCTTAATATTGCTCGAGCTTGTATGTTTCAGTCTCGCCTGCCTATTGAGTTTTGGGGAGAGAGTATCTTGGCTGCAGCTCACATCATAAACCGGACACCAACTAATGTTCTCAATGGCAAAACTCCCTATGAAGTACTACATGGATGTCCACCTATATATATGAGCAACTACGTGTATTTGGCTGTCTCTGCTACGCCCACCAGCGACCACGGGACAGAGAAATTTACTACTAGGAGTCGAAGGTGCTTGTTTATGGGTTACCCCTTCGGCAAGAAAGCTTGGCGCTTGTATGATTTGGAGTCTAACGAGTTCATCAATAGTCGTGATGTTTTTTTCTTTGAAGACCAGTTTCCACGAATTGAAAATTCTCAAACCATCACGCCCCCGACCCTGCATACTAATCTCCCTCTCGATCATTGGTTGTACAACTTAGATACACAACATCATCCACATGACACAACAAATATTCCCTCTTCTTCCTTACCTACAACTATTGATTCCCTTAACCCTACGACCACTACCACAACAACGTTAGATCCTTCTCCTACATCTCCATTACCAGAACTGGATAAGACAGTTACACCTGAGACATCGGCTCCTGCTACTTCTTCATTACCAACACCAGATACAGCAGTTACAACAGACACATCGGCTTCTTCCTCTCCATCTACAACACCATCGAAATCACGAGTTCCTGATTCCTCTACTACAGGCTCGTCTCCTGGTCTCCTTGATTTACTAGGCCGGGGTCATCGAATCAAGAAACCTTTGGTCCTCTTGAAGAATTTTCTCACTAATACTGCAACTACAAACCCCTCTCACGTTCACACTACGCAAGATCAGAGTTCTCCTCCAATGGTCTCAGGTAAGACACTATATCCTCTACGTCTATCTTTAATGCTAAACACCAAGCATTCTTGACAAAAATCACTACTGATTACGTACCACGTACGTATAAGGAGGCAGTCAACGATCCTCGGTTTAATAATGCAATGAAATCCGAGGTCACAGCTTTGGAAGAAAACCACACTTGGGACGTGACTTCTCTACCACCTGGGAAGAAGGCGATAGGGTGTGGCTGGATTTACTCAAATAAATATAGGGTCGATAGTACAGTTGAAAGACCTAAGGCTCGATTAGTTGCTCGTGGAAACCGCCAGAACGAAGGTCTGGATTACAACGATACATTTTCCCTAGTCGCGAAGATGAACACGGTTCGTTTTCTACTAAAACTCGCAGCTGCTAAGAGGTGGGAGCTCTATCAAATGGATGTTCACAATGTCTTCCTCCATGGGGACCTTGAAGAAGAAATTTACATGGAACTTCCTCCTGGTTTTAAATCTACTGACCCTTCAAAGGTTTGTTGTCTCTGGAAGTCATTATACGGACTTAAACAGTCTCTTCACTGCTGGTTTGCTAAACTTAGCAAAGCTCTCAAATCATTCGGTTTTGCGCAGAGTTATGAGGATTATTCGTTGTTCTCCTTTACAGAAGCCAATATATGTCTGCATATTCTAGTATATGTCGAAGATTTTATTATCGCAGGAAACGATATCGCCACCATGGCTTCCTTTAAGATTCTTGAATTATGGTTTTGAAAATGTGGAGATCGCTATAAAATGGATTGATGGTATTCGATCAGATACTTAGGGAAGTTATTAAAACATGAATTTTGAGGATTTTGATGATTCTAGATTTGACAAATTTTATCAAATAGTTTTATATAAATTTCATGACTTGTGTGTAGAATTTTATTGATTGTTATAAACTCTTAAAGTAAGTAATTAGTTGTGGTAAGAGAAAGAGAAAAAAAAATTAATGACCAAATTTTTTTTTATTAATACCTAAAAAGGTTTTATTAATACCTTGTTATTATTGTTGTCGACGTTGAGGTTAAGAAGCCTAAGAAGAAGGTGGAGTTCGATGAAGAGAACTTGAAAGATGTTAGCATCAGGCAACTTGTGAAGTTGGTGAAGGAGCTTTCTATTAAAGGCAGTAACAGCATAACAGCATTGCAGGTGTTGCCTGTTAATAATCAGATTGCAGAGTAGTCTGGTAGTTCAAAAAAAATGCGTTTCTTTTTCTTATGTTGTAGTCATGTCAAACAGAAAATTATG